CTCCATGCACACAGCAAACATACGTATGTGCATACACACATGCATGCACACTCATGCACATCTCCCCACACATGCACACATACATACACAACCAGAAAAACAAGTTGTTTTCTAAAGTGAAAAAGCTATAAACAGCCTTTCTGCTTTGGTCTGTCTGCCATTTTATTTATTTATTTATCTATTTATTTATTTATGTATTTATTTATGTATTTATGTATTTATTTATGTGTTTATTTATGTATGTATTTATGTATTTATGTATTTATTTATTTATGTGTTTCTATCTCTCCATCTGTTCATCCATCCACCTGGCTACTTATGTACCTATCTATCATCTATTTATTTCTATATCTCTATTTCTTTATCTTTTCTCTGCTTTTCTTTTTTTTTTAAAAAGATTTATTTATTTATATATGAATACACTGCAGCTGTCTTCAGACACACCAGAAGAGGGCGTCAGATCCCATTACAGATGGTTGTAAGCCACCATATGGTTACTGGGAATTGAACTCAGAACCTCTGGAAGAGCAGTCAGTGCTCCTAACCACTGAGCCATCTCTCCAGCCCTCCTTTTCTTTTCTGAGACAGGGTTTCATGTAGCTCAGGCTGGTCTCCAACTCACTACAGCTGAAGATGCCCTTGTTCTCCTGATTCTCCTGCTTCTGCCTCCTGGGTGCTGAGATTACAGGTCTGAGCACCCATACCTCATTTGTGAGGAGTAGGGGGTAGGTGAGTGGGGCTGGTGGTGGGGGTGGAACCAAGCCCTGGAGCATGCTGGGAAGTGCTCCCCTGTGGAGCCTCATCCCCAGCCTTGAGTTCTCCCTGCTTCTGCTTTTAAGAAAGGACATTTTTCTCATTTCTACTTCCCCTTTCTCCTCTGATGATGATTTTTATAGTAAAATTATGTCATGGAAGGCACAGCACAGAAGAATGAAAATGGCCTTGTTTCCCCTCGGGGCCAGCGTTAACCCTCTCGAGGGACTCCCTTTTGACTTTGAGGACTTGATCAATGGGAAAGGGGAACTCACTACGTGGCCAGGCAGGCTCCAGGCTCCACAGAGATCCACCTGTCTCTGCCTTCTGAGTGCTAAGGGGGTGAGCCGCTCTGCCTGACTCTTTCTCTAGTTTTAAAACTACATTGATTAACGATGAACAGAGTGAATGGCTACAAAGACGTTTGTGTCTAAGAGTGTTAAGATATTTAATAAAAGACAAAGGTTTACATGAGAGGGAAAACTCCAAATATTCATAGTGGTCACCTTCGGAGGGAGCGAAGCTATCAGTTAAGTTTTCTATGTTCCTTTTAGGAATCTGTAGCGCCCTGCTTTTTTTCCTTCCATGACTAAGGGTTATTTAATGTCATTTTAGAAAGCACCATTTGAGTCGGGTAGAGATGGCACATGCCTTTAATCCCAACATGTGGGAGGCAGAGGCAAACAGATTTCTGAGCTCGAGGCCAGCCTGGTCTACAGAGTGAGTTCCAGGACAGCCAGGACTACACAGAGAAACCCTGTCTCGAAAAACAAAAAACCAACCAAACAAAAACAAACAAACAAACAAACAAAAAGAAAAAGAAAGCACCATTTGGCAGGTGTGGTTCAAACCCATAATCTCAGAATTTGGGAGGTGGAGGCAGGGGGATCAGGTGTTCAGTGCCAGCCCAGGCTACATGAGATCCTAACTTAAAAAAAAAAACAAAAACCCCCCAGGCTTTCAAATGTGATACTTTCACATGGGAGCTTGGGCCTCTCCTCCTCTCCTAACCTCCACATCTGCGGTCTGCAGAGGGGAGCTCTGGTCTGTCTGGACCAGACTGAGGTACATGGGACCTTGGCTGTGGTCAGAGGCCAATGATGAAGAAGTTGAGATGGGGCTGGGAAAATCCCCAGAGAGCAAACTGAGCGGTAACAATGTCTACTCCTAAACCCCATCCACCCTGGCCAGGCACAGCGGCGCATGCTTTTGATCCAAGCACTCTGGAGGCAAGGAGGCAGAGACAAGTGGATCTCTGTGAGTTCGAGGCCAGCTTGGTCAACATAGCAAGTTCCAAGTCAACCAGGACCATACAACGGGAGCATGTCCATATTCGACAGTGGTCAAGCATGGCATCCTTCCTGTGCCCTTAGGGGTAGAGGTGTCTATGATGTTGTCTCGTCCTTCCTGCGTTGCAGCTCACAGCTTCCTGTGCTCAGACCAACATGAGACCTGCTAGCAAGTTTTTCTCCATGGCTCCCACTCTCTTTCCCACACCCCACCTCTTGGCTCCCCAGTGCCCCATGACCAAGGCCAGCACCCCTCCACCACCATCCTCTTCAGTTTCACCCCAAGCCGACCCACAATACCTTTATGCACAAGACTCCCCGATGGAGAAGGCCATCCTGTCTGCCCAACATCTACTCATCTCCGGCTTGTCTGACTGGGAAGAGACCCCGCCTCATCCAAGCCTTCATGATGTCCTGTTTGGCTGTCTCAAGACTTTGTTTTGCAGTGACTTACTCATCTGCTGGTGGGACTCGAGGAATGACAAAATGAGTTGAGGACAAAGCCTTGAAGATACTGTCCCCCTGTCCCCAGGGGGCAGAGCAGGGTTATGTGGCCAATGGCAGCCACCCGTCAAGGAGTCTTAGATTCCAGCACGGAGGCACAGCACGGCAGGGGCATGGGCAGCGTCAGGACCGCCCACCCCTTCACAGTCCTGGCTGGCTGGGGCAGGCACTCTGTGGTGGATATAAATACATAAAACAAACAGCCCACTCTTAGTTGCAAACTAAAAATAGGAAGCTTGGAATCCGGCTTCCCAGACTCCCCTGGACCACACAGGTGTAGCAGCGGATATTGGGGGGACATGGGCCCTCACCCCACAGCTCTGCAAGGGCCCCATGGGGAGGAGTCGAGGGAGGTCTGGGTTTCTGCCAGAGAGGGTTCTTACACTCCGTTCTTTTGACTGCTCATTTCATTTACGACCCTGAGCTGAACAGAGCCACTGAAGTGCTCCGGGCTGGGGTGTGGTGTGCAGGGGAGAAACTGTTTCTTCCTGAGGCTGTGCTGGGGGTCTGGCTGTTTGTGGAAGTGCAGTCTGGGGGCAGGGAGGGGTGCTGGTTGACAAGGGAGGCAGATCTGGGTCTGGGTCAGGTCCTGCCTTCATGTCCTACAGCACTGACTCCTCCAGACTTCTCTTCCCTGCATCTCCCCCCCCCACCCCCCAGGAGATGTACTTCTCAGGACAAGAGCCAAAGCTATCTTCGCAGGCTTTGTCACAGGGTGGGGGCCTTTCTGGGAGCTGCCTCTCAGTCTGCCACAAAGCCAGTCACAAATAATCAAGGCAGTGGACTCTGTAACTCTCAGATGAGACACTGAAGACCTCAGGGGTTCCAGGCTGGCTGCAGACTGGCCTCCTCTCCTGGGCAAGCAGTGTGGGACCCTTTGACTGTGGAAAGTGCACGAGCCTGCCTGGGCCTTCTGAAGCTTCCTCCTCAGAACTCAGCTCTTCCTTCCAGGTCCCAGTCCTCTGGTGGGGCCTAGGAGCTCAGGGTCTGTGTGTGACTGTGCTAACATCTGGTACATGTGACCAGGAGGGTGGCTCTGCCAGGCAGAGACAGGAAGCTGCTACCGTCAGAGCCTCTGCTGGGTGAGGAAACTCCAGGCGGGGCAAGAGCAGCTCTCCTGAGGCTGAGGAGTTCCTTCTAGTAGCGGCCCACATTGATCTCCAAAGCAGGGGGTTTAAAGTGGGGGAGATTTGGTGGGGTGAGGGGACTTTCCTTTCTCACTGTTGCCTGGAAGCCAGTCCTGCCGCCACCTACAGGCCTCAGTGGTAACTGCATGGCTTCCTCCAGCTGGGGCCTTGCCTCCCACTAACAGGGAGACATCTCTTGGTCTGTTTCCTTTTGACAAGTGGGAAGCAAGTGACAGGAGTTAAATACAGTCAGGGGTTTTGCTCTTCGGTTGTAGGGGCCACCTACAGGTCTGCCCTCGGATAAGCCAAATAGAAGCATGTGGGCTGTGGAGACAGTTTCTTGTTCTGACCCAGCGAGAGGTCCTGATGGGTGACCCACCTAGAGTGTGCCTGGGGACAGGTCATGCATTAGCTGTGACTAGAATCCTGTGGTGCTGCCAGGTAGGAAAGGGTCCAGGGTCTAGGCTGGGAAAACAGGAACTTCTTGCTGGGGGTTGGTCTTAGGCTGACAGTACAACGGGGCAAGATCCTGGAACTCTGAAGTGGGCCCACAGAGCTACGTCTATCTTAAGAAAATCTTTATGTCCCATCTTTATGGTCAGGGGTCACAGGTTGGGGTGTGGGGTTCTGGGAAGACAGGGGTTATCAAGCTAGGTCCCCACACCATTATCCTCAGCCCTAATTTTTAGGCTATGGTCCTCAGCTTGGCAACTACCAACTCCAGGGAGCCATGGAGGCCATGACAGTTCTCTTTGTGAGTCAGAATGACCTCATCTCCAAATGACCACTTTGCAGTCTTGTCTTCTCTGCTGCCAGTGTCCCAGCAAGCAGACCCCAGTGGGGGTGCTGCTACCTTGTAGGGGCACCCCAGAGGGATTACACCCCAAAGCCCCTTACTCTGGGAAGGTCTTCACTCAACAGGGCTTCCCACTCCAGAGGGGCCTCCACCACATCCATCTCAGGGAGGACCCCACTCCCAACGTGGTGGCTGGCTTCTCTTTCAACCTTCCCTCCCCCAAACCTGCATCCAGGTGACAAATAGGACCATGCAGTGGCTTCTGCCTCTGTGTGATGGACAAAGCCAGCTGAGGGAGAGAGGATCAGTGATCTTGAAGGCCCATCTGATGATCTGGGGTCCTATCCCAGGCAGGAGGGTGGCCTTCCAAGGTCTCTGTAACCACCTTGAAAGGGTTGGATGGCAAACTCCTCAGCACTGGGGTATCTTCCCACACAACCAGCTCAACCATGTCCAGTGCCCTACCTATCCCCTGCCCAAGAGTAGGAGGTCCCACCCTCATTCACAACTCCAGAAGCCTGACACAGGTACTTCAAGGCAGCTGTTATATTATTGTAACAAATACAATTTTCATTTTACAGTTAAATAGTACCCAAGATGGGCAGCTGACCTGTACAAGCAAGTTGTGCATAAAAAACAAACACACAAGCAGCCTATAGTGCAAAGCAGGCCCTCTTCTATCCCTCAGCGTGGAGCCCACATCAGGAAGATCTGCTCACAGCAGGTAGGGTACCTCAGGGTAACAATGTCATGAAGGATAGGTACCCACCCCCACACAGTGACACTGTATCAATCCCTCAGGTTCCCTGTGCTTTCTTTTTAGTCTGTGCTTTCAAGTAGCATTTTAAAGTAGCCTTGCAAATAAGGACCCATTTTCTTTTCTTTTTCTTTTTTTCTTTTTTACCAGCCTGGGCTGCCTGGGCTCACTGTAGGACCAGACCCACGACAGACTCAGCCTTCACTGTTAATCAGGGATGAGAAAGGAGCTGATGGAGGTGGGGTGACTTTCTATCTCCACCCGCATTTGGGTATCAGGAAGGGGAGTTGTCTGGGATGGCTTACATAGTGCTAGGCGCTGGGACCCTGAAAGTACCTTTCTTGGTGAGTTGGGATAGTCTGCACCATGGACCAGTAGTGAAGCAGGTAGGAGGGCGACAGATCGTAGCTGTTTCCTGAGAAGAGGTGAGAAGGCCCCTCTGGGTGCAGGGAGCTGGAAGATTACCTCAGCTACTTCCAAGAGATAGAATTTTTTTTTTCCTCCAGTAAGGGTGGGACAAGAGAAACTATAACCGGAGGTATCTACTCAGGATTTACGGGATGCCCTGACCTGCCAGAGTGTGTATGTGGCTGTTACAGGTGCAGGCAATGGGGAAGGCCAGGCACACGACAGAGGCCATGACTAAGGAGCCTTGTAAAGGAGACTTCAATGGCCACAGAGGATGTGGCTCACTTAGCTTGAAAAACCAGCTGTGGGCCAGCTCTGGTAAGGGCCTTTTAACCTTTCCCACTGACAATCCCCCACAGATCTAAGAGGACATCTGACCTCTGCTTGGACACTGCTTTGCTGTTGCACACCTCACCAGAGACTCCTGGAGGTCTTGTCCCCTTCTGTGAGGAATGTGAGGTCCAGACCCTGGTGGCAGGGTCCTGATGATATCACACTAGCAGGGGGTTGGGCTTTCGTACACACAGACCGCTACCTGTCAGAGGTTTAGATGCTTGGTAGAGTTACCTTTTTTTTGGGTCAAGGTTGTTTGCTTCTAGGTACAAACAAGTTTGGAGCGGGACTGAGGCCTAGGACACAAGGCCCAGAGCACAGCTTGGCTGGACAAGGTTGGCCCTGCTTGCTAGGTAAGACTTTCTGCCAAGACCCCTCTGCCCCTGAGAACCCAGTAGGCAATTGAGGCTGGAGTGTGCTGGACAGTATTGAGGCCTTCTTTGCTTTAGGGACCTGCCACCTGGGATGAGTCTGCTCCAGGGCCTGGTGTTTTTAGGGAAGCTAGAACTCCAGTGGCTGCTTGCCTAGAATCATGGGGAAGTCAAGTTGGGGACTCTTGTGTGTGTGTGTCTGTGTGTGTGTGTGCACGTGCGCGTGCCCGCTGTCTCCTCCCGTGCCCGCTGTCTCCTCCCTCTCTAGAGACCTTCCCAGGGGTTGGAGTTTCCAGTTGGCTTGATGGGTAATGGATGCCAAGGGAGGGCTGTTCCTCAAGGTGGAGGGTGAAAGTCCAGTCATCTCTAAGCCTGAACGTCTGTTGCCAGTAAAGGTCCTCTCCCTCAAGGGCGGGGGTAGCCTCTGACTCCGGAATTAATCCTGGGCATGGATGGAGACAACAGAGGCGGGTTTGCGGTACACAGGGAGTGCGGACATCGATCTGGGCTGGAGCAGGGTCCTGTGGGAGGTCCCCACATCCTCTGTTCAAACTTGTGGCTGGGCAGAGCTCTGGAAGCCATCGCCAGCTCTGGCCCCTGGGACCAAGCCAAAGTCTGTTTCTTCTTGTAGCCTCAGGCTAGAGGGATGGGTTTGGCTGGCCAGAGAGTCCCCAGAGTGCTTAGTAGGGCCGCCACACGGCCTCGTCCATACGGCCCGGCGTGCTCAGGGCCGTGGGCGAGTTGCTGTGGCTGCCGTCGGCTTCCACGCCATCAGCCTGGCCCAGGCTGGGGTTCATGAGGTTGCCTGCTGACACCGAGGCGCCGCTGGGGCAGGAGGTCAGCATGCGGGTGGGCGAGCGCTCGCCACCTCCCGCAGTTGCCATAGAGAACTGGTAGGAGCCGGAGGAGGCACCATAGAAGAGATGGTAGGGCGCGGGATTGGCTTGGAAGGGCCCGCTCTGGCTCTGCGGGGCGCCGGGGTAGGGCGGAGGGAGGTAAGTGTGGTGGAAGCGGCTGCTGGCCGGCATGCCCGCCACGCTCAGGCTGCCCAGGCTGGTGCCCGATGGTGTGGCGCTGTAGGGGAATGCGGCAGACATGGCTCCCGGGTAGTGCATCCTGGGGTCCGGGAAGCGGCTCTCTGTGAGGCTCTGCAGCGTAGGGAAGGAGCGGTCAAACTGGCGGGGGTCCGAGAAGGGGTTCAGGTCTGAGGAGCCTGGGGACAGACAGCAAGAAGGGGGATCAGGTGCGCAGGCCAGGATCACTGTGAGTCCTCTCGTACTGTGGGGTGACCTTCCTGGGGATCTCTTCCTCTGGCTGGGCTGTCCACAGCCCTGTGCAGAGGACTCTCGCTGCAGATCTGATGTGAGTGGAACTCTGGGGCAAAGCAAAGGGGACAGCCCTCCCGCCTCCTGTGTGTCTTTCCCAGCCTGCTAGGACAGGCACCAGACAGGGCTCCTACCTCATTCTGAAGAATTAGCAAGATCAAGGGTGTGAATAGGGTCCCCAGGAGCCCCATGAGCCTGAGGCAGAGATACAGAAAGGCTGATTCTCCACTCAGGTACAGAAAGTACCAGAAGGCTCCAGAAAGATTTTTATTCTCTGCTGAGGCAGGTGTGTGTGTGTGTGTGTGTGTGTGTGTGTGTGTAGTCAGACAGGTAGGTAGGTTGGGGTCTTAGCTGTGGTGGGATCTGCTGGTCTTACCCCACTTCCTGAGCCTATGTCTGCCAAGGCTGCCCTGCAGGCTGGTTAGTGTTGGTCACACAACTATAGTCGTGACACCTTTATCTGCCTTTGTTGCAACACTAAAGATGAGCTGGAGGCACTTGGGGGTCCCAACCACACAATAACACCAAGGGTCTGGAATTCTCAGAGGGCTCCAAGATAGGGGGTGCCAATCTGCACACCTACTTTTGTGATCATGGGCTCCTAATCCCAGCATTCACACGAGCTTTGGGAACAAATTTAATCCTATTGGTACAGGGACCCAGGCAAAGGAGAGGCAGGAAGGTCACAGATCACACTGTCCTGGGCCCCAACACAGGCCAGACAGCCACCACCGCTTTGTGGAGGCAGCTGGACTCTCCCTGTGGCTTCTGGAGGCACTCGGTCACCCTGGTTTTGACTCTCACTCCCATGTGTCCCTGGTCAAGTCATTTAACCTCTCGGCACCAGTTTCCCAAGGACCTAGGTCAAATGTAATGAACTTAAAACACAGAGAACAGAGCCCGGCCCAGCAGCAGTGGCGTTCCCTTTGTCTTTCTGGCGATGCCGTCACATGTCTTGTTCTGGGTCCCCAGAAGTGGCTGCTTTGGGATCCCAATAACATGAAACCCTGACCTGGGACCCTCCTGGGATCCTGGCAGCAGTGGTGGGCATGGTCCCAAGTGTGGCCCAGAGCCTCAGCCTGCCAAACCTCAGCTCTTTTGTCTCCTTCATTGTGGATGAAAGGCCAGGGGAGGCCCTAGTCCTGGGCTAGCAGGGTTGGTACTGCTCTGGGTGAGCCTTTTGGCCATGATTAAGATGTGTCTGATACAGAGCTCTGGCCTCCTGCTTCCTGGGCTCTCTCTGTCCAGGGTGTCAGGTGGCCTCAGGTATCTGGTACTCCTTGGGTCTCTGGAGTATGCATCAGTGGCACTGGGCCTGGCTGTGGGTCACCATGAAGGGCAGCCCTTGGCTCCAGGTGAGGAGAGCAAACAAGGGGCAGGCCACTGGAGCTTTCCTTGGCTGGTCAGTGTGCCTTGAGGCCTGGGAGGGAGAGGTGCCTGATGCCCACCTGCAGAGAGGATGCTGCATACAGATGCCTGCTGGCAGGGGACCCTGCTCTCGAAGCAGACCAATCAAAACTTGTGTGAGGAAATGGGACTCTGGTTCTGCAATGGAGAGCCTCAGACACGAGGAGCTGCCACTGTCCCCTACTGCCTCTGTCCTTGTTGCTCCAGCTTCTCCTCCAGAGTGGCGGAGAAGTACCTGCCCCAGGTGTCTCCTCAGTCCCTCAGCAGCTTCCTCAGACTCCTGTGCCCACACTCAGCCTCACAGCCCCAGGAAATCTGAGCTGCCGGGGCCACTGTCAAGCAGCCAAGCGAACAGCTCAAGGAAATGTTTATTTTCTCCAAATTGCCCCAACTGCTGCGTACAGCTGAATGAGGCCTTTGAGCTGTGAGAAGCCCCCTTTGTGGGTGTCTGCAGTAGGGGGCGGGGGCTGGGTCTTGGCATTGCCTGCAGTGTCCAAAGCTAGGGGTCAAGGCTGTTAACAGGCACTGAAGCACATGGAGGGGGCATCCTGAGGGGAATCCCACCAGGAGGGAGGGCCAGGGAGCGTGACTCTTCACTCGTGAGCCTGCCAAAGCCACTCTGTGACAGGAGCCTCTTCACCTTGTGGATGAGAAGACACAGGCTTAGAGAAGATAGGCGACCTGCCTCCTAAAATCACACAGCCAGTGCAAGGCAGAGCTAGAACCAGTCAGGTTGACAAGATGGCCAAGGATATGCTTCTTCCCTAGGGTATCCAGGACCCTCTCCTAAACACCAAAGGGCCAGTGGGAGCTAACATGGGGCTGAAGAATCCCATCTCAGGATTCAGTAAGAGAAGGACTGGCCATCCAGGCCATACTAGCTAGGTGAGGCCCAGGGCTGTGGGGAGGCTGATTCTGCCTCCTGGGAGTACACAGTCCAAGGACCACACCCTCTCACTGTGACAGAGCAAGCATGCATTCTTCTCTCATGAGAACTGATAGACAGGAAGCACTGTTGAGCCCCGTTGGGTTCTGGGGTGTCCCTGGCTAGACCCCATCCCTTTTAGGCCAGGCTCTGTAGGTGCTGGCCTGTGGGGGTGAGGGAAGGGCAAGCTCCTGGTCAGAGCTGAGCATGAGGTAGATGCTGAGGGCCTATCTAAAGGGCCTGGGCCTCAAAAGCTAAGTCTCTAACTCACAAGCCCATGGGTTCCCTACCTTGGGCTAGCTTCCGGGCACACTGAGGGATGGCGCTATGCCCCTGACACTGTGTCATGCCCAGAACACATGGATAATAATATTCTCAGTAATGCCTCCCCCCATGGAATGACCGGTGTGGAGAAGGGCAGAAGGTAGGCCACAGAGGTACCAGCATATAGCCTGATCTGACCATAATGTTCAGGCTCCTCTCAGGTCTACCTAGGGACAAGCTGGGAAGACACTGGACTCAGCCACCAGGAGGCCCTGAACCTCTTCAGCTTCAATTCTATCATGTGCCCCCATGGCCCTGAGCCAGCACTGGTGATCTGAAGGGATAGGTACCACACAGGCAGCAGTTAGCCCTCAGGCCTCTGTGGTTTGGCATCTGCCCTTGACTGGCCTGAGCCAGCTACATTTAGCCTTCTGTCTTTGGCTTCTAACAGAAGTATGATTGTCGGCCATGGGGCTGGCCAGGCACCTGCCCCATATGGGCCAACGGGAGATTTGCCTGCAGCCCAGCTGCCTCAGCTAAGCCGCCAGGGCAGAATGGGACCCCAGAGCTCTCTATTTGAGTGACTCTGGGTGGAGAGACTGAGCTAAGCAATGCTGGCATCCTTTATCATGGTTTCTGGTGTCACTAGCACCCAGTCCTGGGAAGAGATAGCCTCACCCTATCTTTCCTCTCTGTGAGAAAGCTGAGGTAGTAGGGAGGTGTGTACAGTGGGGACATAGTTGTCATAGCTCTATGGACACCACAGGACCACCCTCATGTCCCTGTGGACTAATGAACGTCAGAGGGAGGGATGGCCACATCTGTTCACACTCATCCCGGGGTCAGGCACTGTGCATGAGTCAGTGAGCATTTGCTGAGGGAGTGGGCAAAGGCCTGGTACAGAGACGCCCTCAGGAGACCTGGGAGTGTAGACTGCAGACTGCTCCAGCTGTCCACCAATAAACAGTGGGGGAGCCATCTTCCCCTGGGAGAGATGGGCTGTATCCTGGATCCTTATCCACCCCCTGCCTGCTCCCCGTGGGTCTCTGCTCCTTCGTACCTTGGATTGGGGTCTGGGCCTGGCTGCTGAAGTGGCTCGTGGTGCTGAGGGAGCCCCGGGGGCTGGGGGTGCTTGGTGTCACACGCATGCGCAGGTCTCCGAAGCGGTCGGGGAAGGCCTTGGTCTGGTCCTCTATCTTCTGCCGGTGCCCTGTGGAACATGGGGAGTCCATCAGCTACTATAATGCCTTGTCCTTCTGGGAAGTTCTTCCTGGAGTCTAGCTTAGGTCTCTGTGGAACTCTCTGATTTTCTGAACGGAACAGAGATCGTGGCTACGTGCCGTTTCTGGCTGCCTGATCTCTCCTCAGAATGGTCATTCTTAACATCACACCCGGGGCTCTTACTGGACCAGCACGCTGTGATGTTAAGCTCTGAACTACCTAAACCTCCCCAATATGGTCTGACAGGTAATAATACCCAGGGAACAGGCCTAGAAGAGTGGCTCAGGCAGGCAGGTTGCCAAGGAGTTAGGAAAAGCACACTCCCCCCCCCCAACCCCCGCCATCGTGATAATACCACCCTTCACCCCTCAGCATGCAGATCCCCACACTCCACGCACCCCTCAGTTCATGCATCTCGGTGAGGGTGTGAGGTTGTGGGAGGGAGTGCTGGTCACCTGGTCCTGATCAACCTAGCCACCCTCAAGCTCCGTTCCCCCCCCCCCCAGGAAGGAGGGTAGAGGCGTGGTCATTAGGGGGTATGCAGGCTTCTGGTCCCTGCCCAGCCACAGTGTGCACAGGAGCCCCAGGCTGGCTGTGTACCTGCCAAGGGCTGAGGGACACCTGGAGTGTCACTAAGTGCCACAGGCACTCTCAGTCACCCATCTTTCGTTTCTCAAACAACACACCGAATTTCTGAAACAAAACTGAGCCCTGGCCACCCAGGCCCCTTGTCAGCGAGGGTCTGTGCCCATCGGCTCTCAAGTTTCTCTTCTCAGCCTCTTTTTGGGTTCATGTGAATGAAAACCACAGAGGAAGACAGTATTCATGGAACTTTCTAGAATGGGTGTGTGATTGTGCCACTTTCTCTTGGAGTGAGACTCCTGGAAGCTCAGTGTCCTTGCCTACAAGGCAGGGACAATGATCAGCCTCTCAGAAATACCTTCTCTGCCACCCTGGCTCACGAGTGTCACGCAGAGTCCAACATTAATGGGTGTCCCTTGAGCCTGCTTGTTACAGCCCTTAGCTGTGTGGCTGCCTCTCATTCCTCTCCTCAATAGACGGAGATTCTGAGTGTCTCCTTTTGGGTCCATACAAGCTCACACCTCCTGTCTGGCATCTCCACCTAATACCCAAACTCTAGCTCCTTCTGCCTCCAGGCTTTCTTTGTGACAATGGGGACTGTGGCTCAGAGACATGTAGAGTCTTGTCTGAGGTCACACAGCATATCAGGGATGGCTGGGAAAGTGTAAGAGGGTGTTCAGTGTGAGAAGTTTGCCTGAGTCTTTGGGTCTGGAGTGATGTGGAGGTCTCTGGATTGACAGAATGGTGGGCGGTACAACAGAGTCTTTCACTGTTCTACCTGAGGCTGAATAAATGACCCAGGGCTGGAAAAGCATGACACGACCACTGACCACTTCTGGGATGAGGGACCTGAGAACGCCGTGGAAAGAGCCTGGTTCCTGACTTTGTAAGTGGGGCCTATCGGTTCTGAGACCCCTGGAGCTCTGAGCTCCAACACATGCCTGTCACAGGTCCAGCTGGGCCCAGGACAGCCTCAGAAACTGAGCAGGGGGTCCCGAAAGGCAACGTTCAGCAGGGGAAAGATAGCCAGGATCCTGCTGTCCCCTCCCGAGGCACCCGCCAAGTCCAGTGGTATGCTATGCTGGGCAGCAGCTGTCACCACCCAAGGCTCTAGGAAATGAAGGGGAAGGTGTGGCCTGCGGGCACCTGGAGCTGCTGCAGACTCTAAGGCCTGCCCCCACCCACACAAGTCTGTGATAAGACAGGCAAGATGGCTAGGGACTAAGCAGAAGGAGGGGCTTGTGGCTCACTGAGGATGCCTGGCTGGGGTCATGATGCTCTCATGTCATTTCTTGCTCAGTAGAAGGGCCAAAGCCCATCTCCGAGGCTACTGGAGATGCCAGGAACGATGAATTCCAAGGCATCTATCTCAACAGGTAGGAAGCCCATCGGATACACGGAGGCTCAGGGCTGAGCAGACAGCAGTTTAGGTGCAAGGAACGGGGTGTCTCAGTCAAACCACTAGCGCTAAGGCAGCCAGTGGGGCCACACGTATGCTGGCCTGCTATCACTGTCATCACTGATGAGCAAAGTCCCCTGGTGAGTCACGGTGGACTGCATCTGCCACTGTTCCTTTGGCCAGCAGGAGAGCAGGCTTGGGGCGAGTCTGGGCTCAAGGGTGAGCCCCAACAGGTGCAACCTGGAGCTCACTCATCACACTCTGGTCTACCCTGAGCTACAGCGTCATCCCTAACACACTGACCACAGGGGAGGCAGGTGACAGTGCAGGACACAGAGGCCAGGATGATGACCAGGAAGCCAGTCTGGATCCCTAACTCCAGGGACCCTGTGGCTTCCCCAGTGCTCCCCTATGATGAAGGACAAGCTCCCTGGAAGAGAAGACAACACAGGACCGCTTCCTGTGACAGTGCAGTACTGAAGCTATTGTCAGGGAGAGGCAGAGGGGAGTCTGCTGACCCCACATGGCCAGGGCGCCAGAGAGTCTCAGAGCCACGAGGCTGAGGCTCTCATGCTGGGAGCAGAACTGAACGGAAGCAAGAGCGCCTGGTCTGTGCCCCGGGGAGGAGGTGGGCCTCAGAAAAAGCCTTTCATTTCTTTTCTCACAGTGAGACCATGGAGCTCTGGTTCCCTCAACCGCTTGTGTCTTGCCCTTCTGTGCTTCGTGCCTCAGTGGCCGTCCTCCCCCGACCCCCACAGCCTGCCCACCTATGACCCTTCCCTTAGAGAGTCACTGACTTAAAAATCACAAGAAGTTAGCATTGGTCAAACTGGCCTCCAGCCTCCAGTGGAAAGGAAGGAGGCAGCTCCTGGGTAGCTCTGGCCTCCTGCTGCCCCTGGCCTGGCCAGCTCTCTCATACCCTCTGTCCTCAGTGCAGGACAGCCTCTTCCAGAAAGGCTCCCTGTCCTCTGGACCCACTCCGAGAGTCCTGTGAACATCCCAGAATGCAGTAGAAAGCAGAGGAAATTGGAATCTGCTGGACACAGGGAGCTCTCTCCACAGCAGGCAGGAGACACACCCCTCCTGACCCTCATGACACTTCCCATGAGGGAGAACCGACATGTTTCCATTTTACAGGTAGGAACACTGAGGTCGGGAAGAACCACTGATGGGCTGACAGCTTACATGAGGCAACTGGCCACTGTTCTCCCAGGAGCCCATTGCAGAAAGGGGACTGGCTGTGAGATTCAAGGAGTGAGTGTCATGGTGCTGAGGCCCAGCCCAGAGAGCACTCTGCGCTCAGTGGAAGGAGCATGAGCAGAGAAACAGGACTGAGTGTCTTAGTTACTTTCAACTGCTGAGATAAAACACTGTGACCAAAAGTACCTTAGGAAGGAAAGAGCTGTAACTCCCAGTTCACACCCCACCACTGAGGAGCAAGCCGGCCAGCAGCTTCCCTTCCTCTGTGGCCTCTGCTTCAGCTTCTGCCTGGAGCTCCTGCCCTGACTTCCCTCAGTGATGGGGTGTGATATGAGAGCAGGAAGATAAGCCCTTTCCTCCCCAGGTTGCTTGTGGTCATGGTGTTTTGTCAAAGCAACAGAAACCCTAACTAGGACACAGGGTCTCAGGGGACATCAGAAGGGTCCTTGCTTTGAAACTCAGGGCTGAGTCCCAACCACACAGGTACTGCAGACCAACTTGCTTTCCTCCAGGCCTCAGTTTCCACATCTGTCATGTGGTTGTCATCCTAATCTCCCTAGCCCTGGGAGTAGATGATCTGGTAAAAATATAGTCCTCACAGGGAGAAGGATGCCTGGAGAAGGGCCCCTGACGCGATGCCCGGAGAAGGGCCCCTGACCCTTAGGCCTTTGTTTGAAATGCCTCAAGCAGGGAGTCTGAGCACAGTGAGTGCCTGGGACCCTGTCCATGGGAGGGCAGATCTCAGCCAGCCCACTCCAGGGCCAGTGGCCCCGGGCGCTTTGCATACAGCCATCACTCAGAGATAGGTTTGGGAAAGTTGAAGAGTCCGGCTAGGCTCCAGCTGTTTCTTCTATAAAATGGGAACAAAAAGCTTAGAGCCTCCCCTTCGCCCTAAGGGTGGAGTCAGGTTTAAGAGGTGCACAGCCCACAGGACCTACCTTCAAGGGAGGTGACAGCCCTGCTCTGACCTGCCTCCCACTCCTGGGTCAACAGCTCCCATTGAGCAGAACTTAGCCATTAGTGGACCCCACAGGCAGGTGACACAGGTCAGGACCCCACAGGCAGGTGACACAGGTCCAAGGCTCTATAGACAGGGAGATTCCCCAGGAATACATAGTAGTCCAGCTGGGTGGGATTCCCTTATTGGTCCCAGCTAGGCCAGCATGGGGTACTCCACCTGCCAGATTCCTGGTGTCTCCTGAGCCAAGCATCTGCCAAGGTTAGTCCCTGCCTGCAGCAGGTGGGGCAGGAGGAGGCCGGGATCACTGTGCCCAGCGGACCACACATATAACTTTAAGACCACAACCCTCCAAGAGGCTCCCTCTCCCCTCCCAGCCACTATTCCTGCCCCCCTTCCCAACAGATGGGCAGAGAAGGCACAAGGCCGAGGTCACAAGGTGATACTAAAACCTGGAATGAGCTGCCTAGCCCACAGAGGAGAGCTGGGCTCTGGCTGGCAAGGGGCCAGCTCCATGTCTGGCCTCAAAGAGGCAGGAGGTAGGATGCAGAGAGAGAGGGAGAGAGAGGCAAAGTCGGGTAGGGCCCTGAGAACAAGGTGAGTCCCCAGCCCTCAGACCTTGGGCTGGTCCAGAGCTTCCCAGCGGCCTCCCTGCAGCCTGCAACCCACACACAGGAGCCACTGTACGCCTGCTGTAGCAGCTTGCTCTGCGGCCTGTGGGGAGATTTACACCAGACTCGGATCAGCCGCTCGGATGGCAGGCGGGTGCCGGGCCTGGGGTGGTCTGCTGTGAATTGGCCCCCTGTGAGCAGATGAAAACCAGTGGTGGCTGGGCCGGGAAGCTGGCTGGCAGAGGGCCAGTGGTAGGGAGGTAGCAGGCTCCCGCCCAGGGCAGCAACTGGGGTTTCCAGGCCTGGGCCTGATTAGGGGAGCTGGGAGGTCTGAGGTTAACCCTTTCCCTTCTACTGGGCGGGCCCTCTCAGATCTGCCAGGCCTTCCTTGGGTGCTCCCAGGTTCGGGGGTGGGGGGTGGGGGAGCGAATGACCAGGAGTGGCTGTCTCTCTGGACCCAAGCATCCTGCTCTCCGTTTCCCCATACCTGGAGTCTGGATGACACCACCCTTCAGTTCTCTCCATGCTCCAGGTATAGCACTGGGCCATTTTTCCTGCTCATCCCAGGTCCCAAGAGGCCACACTGCTATGTGCCCGCTTTCTTCAGGACTGAACCTCAACGAGGAAGCCCTCCCACCCTGCCCACCCTTTGCCTACTATGTCTTCGTCCCAGCTTTGATGAAACGAACAAATGATTTACTTAGCTCGTTTCCTGACCTATTTAAGGAAGATGAACTAAACGCTCCTGTGGACATCCTCGGGGCCAGGTGCAAATGGCAGACAGGCAAAAGAGAATGCTGATGTAGTGTAACACGCAGACCAGCACAGAGGCATAACTCCGGCATGGGAGTGGCTGTGCAAAGGCCCTGAGGCAGGAATGTCCCTGGCAGAAGCCAGCAGCTGGAGTGGGGAAGAGGGTCTAAGAGAGGAAGGGGTCACCATCAGATTTGGCAGGGCCATGGACACTGTAAAACCTGTTTCCTCCTTTCTCCTGTGGAATGTGAGGCCCAGGAGGGTGGGACCCAGCAGGTGTCGGGTAGTGCTGGAGGTATGGCCCGTGCCTGGGAAACTATTGGTGGGAATTGCTTTGTGCCCATTTAGAGGAAGAGACGCTTCCAAGATGTACTCTCAGCCTCCAGAAGGGCATGGAGGCTGGCTTCCACACTTTTGGTAGCAGCACCTGCTCCGTCTGGAGGATGAGGTTAGTTGTTCCCCAGCTGTGGCCACTGCCAGTGTGACCAGCTCCTACCCCACCTCCCATCCCAGTGCTGGATCCAGCTCAGTGTCCTGCATTTGAACCAGTCCCCAGTGACTGGGGCGATATGGAGGCCACACAGGCAGGAAGCCACTGAGCCAGCCTCAGTCCTAGCTGGCTACCCGACTGCAGGCTGGGCACGCTCTGCAGGGCACCAGAGGGGACCAACCTGGCCGCAGAAGCCACAGCTGGGCCTCAGGGATGCAGGACTGCCGCTCCCAGACTCTGGACCAGCCCTACCCACCCACAGAGGCTCTGACCTCACAGAGGTTGGCAAGCGGAGTAAGGGGAAATGCAGAAACCTGAGAGCCAGGAGGCTGGCCAGGTCTCTGAGGGGTGTGACACTTCCTGTAGGATAGTGATAAGACAGGAATTGTATGATCCCCCTAAGTCCCGGACCTACACCCTCAGCTTGTACCCCTGGGAGAACCACTGAAGCCTGGAGATGCTAAGGCAACCTCAGGCAGTGACGCTACGTCCCCAGGATGCAGGATGTTGCTGATGGTCAGTCCATGGAAACACCGTATGAGGCGCATACAGGGTTCCTCAGTGCTGCCGCTGCCTAGGTAGGGGGTCTTCCCCCTTTACATGGGGAAACTGAGTCCAGCAAAGAAGAATGCTAAGCATGTTGCGTCTAGAGAATAGGAACTAGAGACCTGATCTCTGGGCCAGGTAGGCCATGGGCAGAACTTAGCATGCCCCAAGAATGGGATAACCTGGAGTAACCTGGAGGATAGCCTCTCTGTTCTGTTCCAAAAATGAGCTAGTAAGAAGGCCAAGAGAGAGATACTAAGCGTCTCAGGCCACACAGCAATCCCACCCTCTGACCCCAGCCACCTCTTCCTGGTCTGTCCCCTTCCCAGCCCCTCAAAGGTATGATGGGTTGGGGAACCAAGAGAAGGTGGGCAGAGGACTCCCTGGGGGATCTCTGAGCAGGCTGACTCACATCCTCCCCTACAGGCCACAGGAAGCACAGCTAACAGGCGTACGCAGGGTACTCTTGGGACCCACAGGCATTGCCTGGCCTCTTGGAACCTCTATCCTCAGTGCCTGTCTCCTGGCCATACGGTCGCTGAGGCCCTGGCTGAGGTGCCCATCAGTCACCTCCGTAAGCTGCCTTGTACAGATGTATCTGTTGCCTCTGCACAGCGGCAGCCTAGGCAGCTGCTTATGCAAACCCATTTTTCAGACAAGAAATATGAGGCTGAAACTGATCTGCCCAAGACCTGCAGTTCAGGGCATGGGAGAAGGTGACCCTGAGGCGAAGTGGCTTCCCAAAGTCCATTGCCCATCTCTAGGCCCCTCCCAAGAGCTACCTGCTGGATCACTAGGTGAGGGGTGAAGCCTGACTCCTGTGCTGGAATGGCTCTCCCTGCGGCCCTAGTGAGCCACTCTCCCTTGAGTTTCCTGGGCACCAAGCAGAGGTTCCAGGCCCTGTCCTCCTGTCCCAAGCTCTGGCAGCCTGAGGCAGGAGCATATCCCTACTGGCACAGATCAAGGTCCCTACAAGCACCGGGCCATCACCTCCCTCAAACAGGGAAATCCTTAGGCTCAGCTGTCAATGAAAAGCTCCTTTAATGAGTGTTTAAACTCCACCCCCTGCTGCAGATACTAGGACGGGAAATTGCCGAATGTAGCGGATGCTCAGGGTACACTCACTGCACCCCCACTCCCATCTGCATGGATCCTGTAACCAGTGTGCCTGGGCTCTGAAGATCCAGGGCTTTCAGAAGGGGGCGTGGCTTCACGGCACTCTTGGTCGCTGTTCCTCTATATCCTTCATCACTGCAGAGGCAGCTGGGATGCAGAGCACACTGGCCTAAGCCCCATCCCAAACGCTGCCCGCCATGGCACCCTTCCTCTTTCCTGCTGTCCCTAGAGAGGCTGGGCTATCTTGGTCTCCTTGCTGATCCTTCAGAGCCTGGGGCTGAGCCCAGAGGGCTTAAATTTAGTACTGAGACCCTTTGAGTGCTTGGAGGGAGACACAAAGCTACAGGTCCAGCCCCTTGGTGCCCTTCTCCCCTCGACCCTTTGCCCTGACTAGGGCTCAGTAGCACTTACGTCGGGGTTCCCGAGGTCCATCCACGGTGACCTTGATGGCTCGGTGGTAGGTGGCCACTTGGGTAGGGTTGGTGAACACGGTGATTGTGAGCGTGAAACTCTTCCCTGGGGAAATCAAGGCAGGAGTTGGATGAAAGGCACATGCATAGCCCCCGGCCTCCCTCCTGTGCTCTGCCGCTGGACCCCGCCCCCAACTTTAGTCCCTTGCAATCACAGAGAGAAGGCAGGGGGAGTATAGTTCAAGCTGTTGGGCTTGACATTCAAGGCCACAGGAGGTGTGGCCTTAGTTGTCCTTCGACTGTACAGGGCCCTCCCACCATTCTATGAGACTATATTTGTGTGATATTCTTTCTATTTAGGGCATACACATGTAATTTTGAGGTAAAGATCTCAGATGGGCGTGTGCTCTTTCCTGAGAGTAATTAGTGACCTTTACAGAAAAAAAATGAGAACATAAAACATACTTAAAAAGAAGAAGAAATCCCTCCTACAGTCCCAGTGGCTGAGACAGCCACCATCATTTGGAGTTTCTCTTCCACTTCTCTGCGTAGAACAGTTTTTATGCAGTTGCTATGGTGATAACATCCACAGCTTTTCATTTCTTATTTGTTTGTTTTTGAGACAGGATCTCTCAGTGTATCCCTGGCTGTCTTGGAACTCAATGTATAAACCAGGCTGGCCTTGAACTTGCAGAGATCCACCTGCCTCTGCCTCCCAAGTACTAGTACCTATCTTGTTTGTTTGTTTACGTATTTATTTTTATTTATTTATATGAGAATTTTGCCTGCATGTATGTATGTGCACTGTGCCTGTGATCCGGCACCCACAAAGGCCAAGAGAGGCCATCAGATCCCCTGGAACTGTAGTTATAGATTGTTGTGAGCCACCGTGTGTGTGTTGGAAATCAAACCCAGGTCCCCTGCAAGAGGAGTCAGCGCTCTAACCCCTGAGGTATCTCTCCAGCCCCCTGTCTTGTTTTCTTTCCTCCTAGGCATAACAAGTTCATAAACTTCCAATTTTAGTGGCTGCTAAGTATTCCCTTGGCAGAAGTCTCAGCTTTGATTGGTCCACCCCCTTATGTCACATTAAGTTCTTGCTGTTGTGTGCAGCCCGCACTGTGAGAGGACTGACCTGGGAGCTATAGACACAACTGTCATTTCCAGAACCCTGTTCTATTCTTAGATAGACGTTTGGCTTCAATGTCTCCATTCAAAATTCCTCAGAAGGGAAAATCTTTTAAAATAATACTTTTTTTTCTCTTTACCATTTAAAATATGACTTTCCATGTGTCAAAATCTCTGTCTACATCTCTTCTCTGTAGACTTCCTCCCAGCCAGTTGCAAGAGGTGTTGAGCAAGTGTGTCACCTCAGATGCCCAGGGATGAGATTTTGGGGGCTGATCTTGACTCTCTGGGGACACGTACCTCATCATGAGTGATGTGAGGCATTGACGTCATCCCAATGCCACTGGCTTCTGTCTATCACAACGGAAGATCTTCAATTCCTCTTGATTTTGTTTGCCTTTCTTGTATTAGTGAGACTGAAACTGTCTCTGGTCACTATCCATCACCGGAATCCAGTTCGCATCACTATCTCTTGTTCTTGAGACTTCCCCATTGGGGCGTGAGAACCTTGGACAACCGCTGCATCGGAAGCCTGCTCACAGCTATGGCCTGTCTGAGTGGCGACCACCACAGTCTGACTTCTAACTTCCTCTCTGTGCTCTCTCTCGCTCGCTCTCTCTCTCTCTCTCTCTCTCTCTCTCTCTCTCTCTCCCCTTCTCTTTCTTATTGGTGGTTTCTACTATCCATGCTGGAGGCTTCCCCAGGCAGGAAATAGATGAAGGTATACTTTCAAGGTTCTCCATGGTGAAGGCTCTGACTACCTCACAAGGCCTCAAGTGAAGGGACATATGTCAGAGGACAGGCCTGATTTTTCTACCATCTTTGTCATTCAATCGCTGTACACTGGCTGTGTCCAGGGTTTCATGTCTCTACCTGCTTCCCCAAGGTCTAGGCCAGTACCATTATCATTTCAGATGAGCCTGGGGGTGGGGCGGGGACAGGATAGGACTCCACAGATCTCCAATTTCCCCTGGTCCAGCTTTGCTTCTGTAGATTGACTCTCAACCCGAGTTAGAGGCTTGGGAACTCCCCCTGGGCAGTCCAGGGCCAGGCATTTGTGCCCCTTTGGAGTGGTCCCCAAGGACACCCTGGAGGCTCCTGGAGACAGGTCATGTTAATGGTACCCTAAGGAGAGGGCCAGTTTTCAGAGTCCTGCTGTACACAAGGACACAGGCAATCTTATTGTTCTCTTTGCTCAAGGGAAAATTCTAGCCCTGGAAACAGGAGATGCGGGCCTGGGCATGGCTAAGACAGTCAGGCAAGCTGAGCCTCCAAACTCAAGGGCTTCTGGGAGAGTAAAGAGCACCCTGGGAAACAGACCCTCACTGGAAGAAGGTCCCTGAGGCGAACAGCAGAGCTCAGGACACACATATTAACGGATCTATCCTTGGAGGTTTGAGCTAGGAAAGCCAGCTTGGCCCCATACTCAGGCCCAGAGACCATTTGGTTGATTTCTGGAAAGAAAACTGCAGACAGTCTGGGGAGACACAGGGCAGGTGGCCTCAGATTCCTTTCCACTCCCCTTGGGGACACTCTTTCTCTGCCTTCTCATTTTGAGGTCACTTCTCTCCTAGACTCCTCCTCCCAACCAATGGGGCACCAAGGGGAAGTTGGAGTCTGTCTGACCTCATTGCTTCTGGGGCCACAATGAAGGGGGTGGGGGTTGGGTTAGGCTGATACCTGGAGCCTTAGCTGCCAGGACTCCAGACTGAGGGCTAAGTCTGTTTTGCAGAGTGGCCTTCTCAATGAGGACTTCCTCTAGCTACTTTGTTTAAAGGTGACATTTCAAAAGCCAGGGAGTTGACTTCAGTGGTAGGTTTGTCTAGAATGCTTCAGGCCCTGGGCTCCACCCTCAGGGCCCAAACCCTCAAACAAACAGACTGGAGATTTTCAATTTGGCCTCTGTGGTTGGCCTTTCTTAGCATAGAGCAGGCCAGGGATCTGGGACAGGAAAATCAGCAATAGTATTGTCCCCAACCCCTAACTGGAAGAGCTTCTCTCAAGCCAGAGTGCAAGCCACAAGCCACAGAAGTATAATGAGCAGTGCCTGTGACCTTGTCACCAACAAGCTGCACAGACATTTCCAGATCACATGACAGTTCTTAGAGATTTCTCTGAACACTCCTAAAGTCAACGTTACGGTCATCTCCAGCACCACTGCTAGGTTTACTATGGAATCTGTCCCACAGAACACCAATATTCCATGATCCCCTCCTCTGTGGCTAAACATAGCTGTCCTCCTCCACAGCTCCATGTGCCTCCTGCCCCGGGGAAAGTTTCTTTATAAAGTTCACTTCAGAATCTGCCTGCTTATGCGCGCTCTCTCTCTCTCTCTCTCTCTCTCTCTCTCTCTCTCTCTCTCTCTCTCTCTCTCTCTCCTAGGTGCTAAGCTCACAGGGTCACAGGGGCCAGAGTGTTACCCTACCTCTCCCCCACCCTATCCCCAGTCTCTAGGATGCCACCTGGTGTAGACTGAACTATTTTAAATGCGCTAATTTTCCAGATGCAAAGACTGAGGCTCATAGAGGAGGTGTGGTTGCCCAGCTGACACAGTATCCAGCCAGGACCCAGAATCACACACACAACTAGACACCTGCCACCTGCCTCCCATCCTGCCCCAGGGAAAAAACCACATGTCCACTCCTGAGATCACCAGCAGATCTCGACAGCTCCTTGCCTTCTCAACCACCCATAGAGCAGAAAGGGAGTCAGGGCCAAGAGCAAGAGACTTTGAGAAAGATGATAGAGCAAGCTGCCCCCAGTTCTCAGTCCTCCCCCTGGTGGTGCCCAGTGTGAGCATCTTTCCTTTGGGGCAGGAAGCTGAGAGGAAGACGCAGGAGGTGGCTGGCTGGGCAGGAGCCTAGCAACCATGCTATGGGACCAGGCCACAAGGCCAGGAGTTGCAATCAAGGAACTGTGTGGGATGGCCTAGCTGGCAGGAGGTGTGGATGGGGTAGGAAGGCTGTCCTGTTCAGGTGTGTGAAACACATGTACACTGCACCCCTGACCAATCAGCCGTCTCAAGTGGGTCAGGAAGTATGACTGATAAGCCCCGCCCACAGGGAGCTGCCCGGTCTCCTGGGGCCTCAACTCAGCTCTGTATCCTCCAGCTTCAGCAAGAGGCGGTTATCCCTTGTCTAGTGGTGCTGTCAGCCTGTACCTACAGCTCTCACCCCAAGTCTCTCTCCACACACCTCGGCTGCTTCTTAGCCAGTTAATGACAGGTGCTCAGCGTCTCCTCTGTGCCTAGGCCAGGGTTACTTTGTCCCCTAGACGACAAGCTGGGGATTTGCCGTGGTGAAGAGTCAGGAGAGCACCAGCCCTTGTGTGGATGTGTGCTCACTAGAGTTCATGCACATGTGAACAGCTGAGTGTGTGTGTGTGTGTGTGTGTGCGTGTATGTAAGCACACACAAGCCCAGCACTGCATAGGACCACAAAGAATTCATTTTTCCTAGGAGGAAAAAAAATGTACTTAAAAAAAAAAACAAACTACCACCAGGAACAGAAAATAAAAACAAAAACAAAAAACAAATAAACAAAAAACCCAAACCTTTCCAAAGCCACAAACCTAACCCAGTTTTACCTAGACAAAAGCAAAATTGTGGGTTCTTCTAATAACTACTGAATGTTTCAGAGGATGGGGGTCTTCCATCTGGAGGGATTCTGAGGTGGCTCAGTGGTAGACCGTTTGTCCAGCATGAGTCAGGGCCAGGCTTTGATACCTGGCTCTGCAAAAGAGCCAAAACAGAACATCCTTACCCCCACCCCAAAAAAACCCTGTTCACTACTCTGTAGAGACTTTCCTCATCTCCAGCAAATCCTGGCACAGGCTGACGCTAGGTCACATTCTCACTTTGAGTCCCGTCATTCTGTGTTGAGGGGATTCTGCGAGGAGTGCGCTGCCCCACTGCCGGGGTTGAAGAGCGGCGTCTCACTGGGTCATTTACATGTTCAAATCTGCATCTGCAATGAATGGCTTTTCTTTGGAGCTACTAGGAAAGGACAGAGATCCAGGAATTGCTGGGAGAAGGTGACCACAGCCTCCGAAGGAAGCTGAGGTTCAGGTGAGATGCTGAGGGCAGGGAAGGGTGCGGCGGCTGGCTAGTACGCCTTTCTGTTCACACCTGCAGCACTGTGAGAGTACCGGGGGTGCTGGTGCATGCGGGTGTTCATGCATGCCTTTCCTTTTTGGAAAATGTTCTGGGATTCAGACAAAAATCAGAATTAAAAAAAAAAGGCAAAATTCTTGGGTTCTCTAGCAGGACCTAAAGTGGCCCTGGTTCTCCCTGTCAGTCAGAGGCAGGCACTCAGGCAGGAATTTCCCAGTTGTTGGTACAGGCATGGCAGAGGTGTGGCACCATGCTCTGGACCTCCTCTCTACCCTCCCCACACCAGCACCCCCACCTCTTCCACTCAACAGCGCACACCTTCTGGGTTTCCCCCACCCCCGGCCAAACCACAGTGCAATCAGAGACTGGGTGAGTATCAGTGCTCAAAGAGACCTCAAAGGCTCTTCCCGTGCCACCCGTTTAAAGTACAAAATCTCTACCATGTACCTGGACCTCAGTATCTAAGGACTCATGCATTTATACCAGTGTCTTCAATCCACTCCAGATCTCATTAAAATGTGGGATTATCACCCTCCCCCCATCTCACAGATAAGGAAATGGAGGCACAGAGAGGTTAAGTCAGTTTCCTAACACCATCCAGCAAGCCCCTAGCTGGCTTGGAACGCAGGCTGAGGTCAGCCCCCCTAGCTCAGACTGGAAAGCCAAGAGCTCTATCCAGAGTTCCGTGGACGTGGGGATGTCATGAGGTTCCTCCTCCCTTCCAGGACCAAAAGATCCAGGAGCATGCAATTCAGCGATCCCTTAGAAACATATTTCTCTTTGAGGGGCCCTTGGATCTGGGCCGTACAATTCACTAGGAGATCATCTGTGGGCTAGGTGCAGTAGCACACACCTGTAATCCCAGCACTCGGAAGGCTGAGGCAGTACGGAAAATCTGGGGTTAATCTTGACTACATAACAAGTTCCAGGCCAGCCTATACTACACTGTGTGTGAGACTGCCTCAAAATAAATAAAGCAAAAATACTTCTTAGTAGCAGACAGGCCATAGTAAGTTAGAGAATCATCACCGTTTTCCTTCTCTGCTACCTCCCAGGAGAGGAGGGAGCTCTGAGTGCCTAGTGCCTTGTGGGGTTTAGGGAATCCACTTCACTTTCCACCAACTTCCCTAGGGACCAACGCTATAATGTGCCCTCCCTCCCCTTCCCCTTCCCCCTCCCCCCACGCCCGCATCACCTGGACCCTACATCCAATGATGTGACTCTCAACTCAGGGCCAGGCCTTCGATTAAGTTGCAAAGGGCTCAGAGATTGGGGATGACAAAGGGGGCTTGGAGACTAATTAGGAGCAGCAACGAGAGCTTAATTCATAAAAGCAAACATTTTCCACCCATCAACCTGCAACCAGTTAAGGGCTACGTTTGAAAGAAATCTGTGCGTGGGGAAGAGGGCCAACAGGAACAGGAAATGTTCGAAAGAATGTAAACTATTTCAGTTTCATAAAAAGTAACAAGTAAACAGTTATTACATGCAAATAACGCCCTGGTTTTAATTAATGCGGAAAAGTCCAAAATATGTTTGACATTTGTATGTATATACCGAACGGCTGCAGAGCACAAAATGGTGCCCAGATGCTGGGCGGGAGCAGGCTGGCAGCTCCCAGGGAACTCCAACCTTGAGAAGGTCTTGTTTATTGGTGTTGAAAAGGACCATTTTGCCTCAGCCATAGCAGCCAGGAGCCGGTTCACTTCCTAACCCTCGAGGGCTCCCAGAGCTTGGGAAGGTGGCTACTCAGCCACTTCAAGGCTCAGCCGCGTCTCAGCAGGCTAGTCTTAAAGCCACAGATCCGCCTATCCCCAGGGCATGGGGACAGGGAGGGCTCCTCCAGCCCAGAGTTACATGATGATGGGTTTCAGGTCCCAGCAACCTCCCACTCAACAGCCCCTGGCGGCAGCCACTGTGGCGTCTGGTCCTGCTTTCTTGCTACTACCAGGGTAGATCAGTCCGGCAGGTCAGCCATAGTGAGCCTGGGGCTGAGATGGCGCAGCCTTCAAACTTCTCTTTCCAGCATCCATCACCGCACTCAGAATTCTCTTTCTGAAAATACCCGAAGAAGCCCCCAGCTCTGGGGAGACTACAGATGGAGTGGACAGGATGCCTCAACCCCAAGTGAAAGAATCTACACCCTGCTTGAGCTGTGCGCACAGGAACCTCCCTCTGCCTCTGTTGTGAGACCACGGATGCTAATGGGGAAAGAAGTGCAGCACCGGAAGCTTCAGAAGTTGCTAAACCCTGGAACCTGGGAGAAAACTCTCCATTGCTAGGAAGAGACCACAGACATATCCATGGAAAAGGGCGGCCGGTGTACTGCCTACAGGAGGGAGACTTGGGAGACAGCACCGGGCCTGTAGATCTGTTTTGGGGCTCTTGCTGAGAACCAGAGGTTTTTCTCAATCCCTCTCCCCACCTTTGCCATCCCAGAGTCCCTTCTGCTCACCTCGCCCACTGCGGCCCACAAAGCGAAGGTCGTTGAACCTGGCCACTTGGTTCTTCATGACGGCGGAAGCGTTGCGCAGCTCGGCGGAGTAATTCTCATCATTGCCGGCCATCACGGTCACCACCGTTCCGTCAGGCACATCCCCCAGTGCTACCACCTGAGGAAAGGGGCAGGACAGAGGACGGCTTAGTAAAGGCCAAAGGGAGGGGCTCACGCAGCTGCCCGCCTAGGTCCCAGGCTCGCTGAGGAGTTCTGAGTCAGAGGTGGAAGAGGCTTGCCGGTGTGGAGATCCATTCCCAATACAACCAATCCCAGATGAAGAACGCTCTAACCTCCATACTCAAATCCTGAGTCGGGTGGTCGAGGGGAGCCCCAAGAAAGCACCCATTTTTATTAAATTAAGTCTAAGCTAGAGGTATTAACCAGCAAGGTCACAGGTAAGGGTGGGGCGGGACAGGAAACTACACTGCTCTCAGCCAGAGAGTCGGCAACCATAATAACCGGGCTACTCCTTGCAGTCAGTTAAGGCATTGGTCCTTTAGGGTACGAAATTTGGCCTTGCAGTGTGACCAAGGCCTGGTTAAACGGCCTCAGCAGGGCCTGGATTCGTTAAGCAGAGAAAATGCAAAATGCAAAACAAACTGCTGTTTTGCAAGTTGATCCAGAAAACCCCAGGCAAGAGGACAGGGTGGTTTCGATCACTGAGCTTGTACCTGCTGGGAACTGTTGGATGGGTGGGTGGGGATGCCCCTTAAATGTCATCTCTCTCCCCCCTCCTTCCCACCCAAGGCGCATCAAGAGGCAGATGCCTTTTGAACCAGATTTTAAACAGAGTCACAGCCATTTAAACGTGGCTGCCGTGTGCAGTGACTGGGGATCCAGATGGTAAAGATTTCAAGGAGAAAATGTTTGGGGTCTGATTAAAAAGGCCAGATTTCCTGTCAACATCCTGTCTTCTTTTAATTTCAAAGATTCCTTTTAAGCTCCAAGTGACAGTAAAACCTCCGATCTGACGATTACAGTCACACGGCCTCCTCCCCCTCCTCCCCTTCTCCCCTCCTCCCCCTCCTCCCCGGGAGATTTCCCCCGCTGGTATTTTAAGATGTCACCCGGGAGACCTCAAAGAGTCACCAGCTTTTTTCTCCCCCCTTTCCAATTTGAAGTCCTAATGGGAGCAAGGGAGGCCTCAGCTGCCAGCAGCCGGCGTTTGCAGCCACCTCCGGCATCACTACCCCCCAGCCGCTGGCCCTTCCTACTCTAGCCTTTCTCACGGCAGCTGCGAGAGGTTTAGGGGAAAACCAAGGCGTTTTCGTTTCATCTGGCTGCCCCCCTTACAAAAAGAGAGAGAGAGAGAGAGAGAGAGAGAGAGAGAGAGAGAGAGAGAGAGAGAGAGAGAGAGAGAGAGAGAGAGAGAGAGAGAGAGGAAAAAGAAAAAGAAAGAAGAAAATGAAACAGTTGCCCATCCCCGGTATAGTTGAAAAAAATTTTCTCTGAACGACTCAGGGCTCCCAGGATGGAGGCACTCCCCAAGTCTCTGCCCATCTTTCGGGATGCAGACTTATGCCAGAGGCGGCCCTTTAGGACCGGCCTACGATCGCCCTGCACAGCACTTCAGCCGCCGAGGTTCAGAGTGTGAGAAGGAAGTGCTTCTGCAGTAGAGCAGGAGGCGCGGCGCCGCGGGGTAGGCCAGGCCCTCCTCACCCTCTGCACCCCACACCTCCCGGGTCCTTGCCCAGCTCCGGCGGTCCTCATCCCGGTTACGGGTTAGGCTGTGCCCAAGAATCTGGAAGCCCCAATCCTCCGATTTCCATACCGCCATACCCTGCAGGGCCCTGCGAGGGCCAGGTGGAGCGGGGTATGTAGCCAAGCTGTCAGTGTGACCAAGGAGCGCCCCGAGTCTCTGTGTCCTGCGGGCAGTGAGGCCGCGGTGCACCGTTCCCATCGCGGGGTCCCGGGTGCTGGCTCTTAGAGTGGGAGCGGAGGGAGGACTACCCACGCCCGGTTCTCCTGGACGCCCTCCTGGTACCTTCCCTCACTGATGTACACCATCTCTCTCTCTCTGGACCCGGGCTCAGGCAGCGGGGACACCCAGGTCCCTTTCATGTTCTGCCGGGCCTGGGCTCCTTCAGAGTGGGTGACCGGGAACCCCTGTGTTCTGCTAGCTGAGTGGTCCCCTTTCCTCCTACCCCGGTACCTCCCATGTTCTCTGGGGTCTGAGGTCTTATTGCGGGGTCGCCTGGAGTCCAGCGAGGGTCCTTCCGGGAGTGGGATCCGACATTCGGGACGCCCGGGTACGCCGGTGTCTTGCCAGCTGGGTGTCATCCCCCGCTCCGTGTCCTACCAGCTAGGTGCTCCCCAAGTCCTCTCCTGTCTAGGCTCCTGCAAACGGGGGCGCCCAGGTTCCCCGGTGTGTCCTCCCGGCTCGGGCCCCTGCACTCACCTTGAAGGCGACCGGCAGCGTCTTGTTGCAGCGCCAGTGCGAGGGCAGCACGGAGCAGAGGAAGTTGGGGCTGTCGGTGCGCACGAGCTCTCCCGCGTGGTCCGCCAGCACGTCCACCATCGAGCGCACTTCGGGCCGGGTGCGGCCGCCGGGGCCCGCCGCCGCCTGCGCGCTCAGCGCGCCGCTGTTCTCGCCCATCTTGCCGCCGCCGCCGCCGCCGCCGCAGGGGAAGGCCGTGGAGGGGGGAGTGAAGCGGCGGCTGGTGCTCGGGTCTACGGGAATACGCATGCCGCGGCCGTCAGGGCGCGGGCGGCCGCAGCCGCGGGAAGCGGGAGGCGGGAAGGCGGCGGCTCGGGGCCCGGCCGGGGGGGGGGGGGAGGGGCGGCGCCGGGAGGGGGGGACGCCCCGACGGTCGGCCGCGCGCCCGTTAGTCCCGCATCCCGCGCGCGCGGCCGCCCCACGGACTCGGTGGCCGCGGCCCCAGCCCGGATCCTAGAGAATCAAGTGGCGGCGCCGCGGCCGCCCGCGCGGGGTTAGTACCCGGGGCCTCGGGGCGGGGCCGTGCGTGCGACGCGGGGCGCAGCCAATCGCAGCCCCCCAGGCTCGGGGTTCGCCGTGGAAGACCGGGTGGCTCGGGCCCGAGCGAGCCAAGCAGGGGCCAGGCTCCGCCCCGGAGGGTCTAGACACTCGCGTCCCGGGAGCAGCGCGGGAGCCGCGGTCCCGCGGAGTCAGGAGCCGCCGCTGCGACCTGGGCAGAAATGAGTTTCCAGGCTCCTGGTTGCGCCTCGGTTCCCCTCCCTCGAGTCGTAGCCTGGCTGCTTCAACTCTGACCACCGCAGCCCGGAACCTGCACCCTCAGCTGGTCGCCGCGGTGACACCCAAGACGGGTTCCTCACTCTCTCCACTCCACCAACGATTTTGACCCTAGAGCTTCCACCCCAGGAGGGATTGATTCCACCGCTCCGCGCGGCCTCGGCCCTCGCCTCTGTGGCCTCTGTGTCAACCTTCGAGGCAGACAGAATGGGGTTGCCACAGGGACCAGCAGTGGGGTGGGGACAACCACACCGTTCCTGTCCACGCAAAACTAGTTTCAGGATCGCTCAGGCCTCGTGGAGTTGTTGTCTGTCTTGACAGCTCATGGGTCTTTAAAAAATACAACAGGGCCTACAACAGCGTGCTTTTTGCAATCATCCCCCACCCCACCCCACACGCATGCAGCCACCGTCCGGTGTAGTGGAAGTGGATGCGGGTCTGTGGCTGAAAGAAAGCGGTCTGTGGCTTAGCGCTCAGTCGGACTGCTTTCTCCCGGTGGATGGAAAGGGGGTCCTCCCAGGGCCCTGCCATGGTCTTCTTGGCTCTAGAGCGCTGAGTCTACAGCGCTGTCAGGTGCCCGGTGGGAAATCGGCCCTGGGGTCTCCGTTGTTATTCATGCTTGGTGGCTCACCCTTTCTGACCTTCACTGACGGCAACTCTTCCCTGGCCTGTCTCCTGAGCTTGGCAAGGGTGCACAGACACACAACTAAAGGGCCCACAGTCACTAAGAGCTGCGTTCCCCACCCAACCCCGCGCACTCTCTGGACGGCGGCAACGAACGCGCTCGTTTCTCTCAGTGCTTTGGAAATTCGACTGCATTTTCGTTCCCAGCGGCAGTGGCTCTGTCTACAACGACCAATTCCAAGCCCCAGAAGCGACACAATCTAGGATCCGACGGCGACAGCGGCAGGATTTCATCCTGGTTCTGACCTCAGCCTAGCACACTCCATTTTGTCAAAAAAACGAAATCAGGCCCTAGGTGTACGACAGCGGGGGACTAGTTCTGTCCTGAATCGAAGGGGCGCCAGGAGAATTGTCTTCTGCCCCTCTCTGGGCCTTATGCCAGCGCCTCAGGCCACCAGGGAAGCAAGGACAGTGAAGGTCCCTTACTGAACCTTTTTGGGAACCTATGATTCGGAGTTGCCCATTATTAGGCCTTGGGCCGCCATGGAAACAGCCTCAGGACCAGAGGGGATCCAGGGAGCCTGGCCCTCGAGCATGGGCCCTCAGGGGGCTCCCCTGAAAAGGTAGCACTGATAGGCATTAGGTAGGACCCAGACCCGCTACAAGCCACCTATTCTGCCGTCGAGCGACTGTGGGCGGTGACTGGCCGCCTCTGTGATGTGTAAATTCGATTTCTCGAGTGATTCCAGTTCGCATCTGCCCATTTACTAGTCCCTCCGCCTGATTTCTCTCTCTGATCTTACAACGAGTTAATAACCGGGTCTTCAGAAAGTGAGGGGTTACGGGGAAGTCTGACATCTCACCCTGGACCCGGACTCAGCTACAGCCCTCGGAAGACCCCAGTCCAGTGTGGGCACGAGAACCAAGAGTTGGGGAAGTGCTGGCTCTGAGTACGCAGCCGGAGGTCGCGGTGCAGGGTCGCCCGGGCTGCAGCAGTGACGGGAACTGCCCACTAGTTGGCGCTGTCGCCTTGCTGGCTTCTCAGGTGGCCCGCCAGACTCAGCGCACAAACGTGCGCCTGGAGCAGGGCAGCCCCGGTTTTCCACGTACCGGGCCTCTGGGGAAGAGCTACTTTCTGGAGAGTGCGCGCCTGACTTCTTTTTATACCTGGGGTCACACATCAGATAAATGGATGGTGTGATGTTAGGCCGAGGGCTGCCTGCCCGGGTTCTCAGGAAAACACGCCGCCGTTCTCTGGAGTCTCAGACACCGAAGGGCCTGCGACCAGCACAACTCTCTCTTCAACAGAACCGCGCCTCCGGCTTCCCTGGACCCGTTCTGTTCTGAGACCCATTCTGAACGTAGGACAGAAGGCGCAGTCTTGCATCTTATACTTGTCTAGAACCCAACCAGCTTCCTACTCTCCTCTCTGGACCGACAAACCTAGAACTATCTATGTATTGTCAAATTTTCACACCAGGAGAGCTGCTGCCGCCAACCAGGATGTCACTCCCTCCCCCTTCCCCACCGAGCACACCTATGTTCAGTCTTCCTTTCTGTCCCACCTACAGACAACAGTCTGCCTTCTCTCAAATGTCCCCATCTAAGTCCACCTCACTGTGTCCCCTACAGGGGACAGGAAGCTGAGATCAAAGCTCCTCTCTCACTCCTATGTCCGCTGTAGGGCAAATAGGACCAGCCTGGGTAAATGGGGCCAGCCTGGGTTATCTCCAGTAGGTTCTTATCCTGAGAGGAACCCCCACCTAAGAGAGGGCTCTAGCCGGGCAGTGGTGGTGCACACCTTTAATCCCAGCATTTGGGAGGCAGAGGCAGGTGGATTTCTGAGTTTGAGGCCAGCCTGGTCTACAGAGTGAGTTCCAGGACAGCCAGGGCTACACAGAGAAACCCTGTCTCGAAAAAACAAACAAACAAAAAAGAGAGGGCTCTAATAGTTTCTTGGCTGTGCAGTGTTGCCTCTGTCTTTGAGGAAAAGGACTGACTGGGTCTGATTCCTTGGGAGTCTGGAGTCTAAGGAGGGTAGGTTTGTTCTTAAATCTGTTTCCTGTATCCCTCTGGTCCAGGAACCCTGCATCAAATATTCCTGAGCTTTCCCTTCCTCTCGCCAGTACAGGGGACAGCAACTCTATCTGGGATCATGTGCAAAGGGCTTAGGACAGGCCTACCACAGAAGGATGCCCTGTCATGCCAACTCTCTTTGGCAAGTGTCACACCCCCAACTGTGAAACACCCGTCTGGTTGTAGCTTCCACAGAGCTTGCCAGAACTCAGAGCCTTGGCATGACTATGGCCCTCTTGCTCCTCCTTTCTCCTGGGCTGGCCTGAGGGCTACCTGCTGCCTAAAGACTGTCTTTACATAGAGCTAGCCCTGAAGGCAACCTTCAAGGGTCTTCTTGCCTTCCAGGCTCCCAGACCCTAACCACCACCCTGCCACAGGCAGCCCTGACCTAAGTAGAAAGTGACCATGACCATGGATACCTTAGTCTCTTCCTCTCCCCCAGAAGTGTCTGTTCCTTCTAGAAACTGAATTTATTCTGGTCCTGGTGCCAAGTAGTGTGGATCCTGCCTTTAACTTAGTCCAAGGACTAGTCCAGGGGACTTAGTCCAGGGGACTTTCCGATCCTCAAGGAATGCCTTTCTAACATTTGTTTGTGGGGAGGGGGAATCAGGGATTCCTGCTGAAAGGAGAGGGGCAGTGAGCAGTCCCCCCTCACCCCGCCAAGGCTGAGAAAGAGAAAGCCAGAAAATGCTGTTAGTAATCACAACTCTGCATCCCGTTTTCAGATGTGTGTAGTTACATACATGATATAAAACATTAAAATACAAAAGATGTCATGTCCCCCGTCTATGTACACCTACTGAACCTGTCAGAACCAGCGGTAGATCACAGTACTGTAACTAAATTGAGAAGCAGTCTCTGAGAGGCGGAGATTCCACCTCAGAGGTTCCAACTCTGGGGTCACCTCTCCTGGGTGACTTGAGAGGAGGATCGGAATGGCTGGGTGTGCTTTCCAATTGCAGAACCGAGAACCAGACTTAGAGGGAGGGAGAAGAGGGAGAGCTGAGAGATGGGACACCTTTCCTGACACTGCTGCGGGGGTGGGGGGGGGTTGTGTCCTGTCATGGGTTCAGCTAGAAGACCAGTTCCAGCCTTGGCTGAGGCCTGACTAAGAACCAGACGGTCTGCTGGCCTTTGAGATGAGACTGAGTCCCCTACGCCGTCACTTAACCCATTCAGCATAATGGAATGGGGCATCCGCAGACCCTTCAAACCCGGAGGACACAGAAAGTGCCCCAGAAAGGATGAGGAAAGGGGGAGTGCATAGCTTTAGGGTTCAAAGCAGGGGGCAGGGTGTGTCTGCCTTCAGCTGCCTGAGGGAGGGAGGGTGTGATCCCAGTACCCAACAGGGGCCAGGAAGGACCAGAGTCGGTTGCTTCCTCCGGGACTCAGGTTCCCACCTCAGCAAGGAGCTTCCTAAGTCATCCTGGATTCCAGCTGGCTCTCCAGCCCAGGGGATACCAGACAGGTTTTGTCTGTGACCTACAAGTCGTTCCTGTACTCTCAGAGTCCAGTCACCTTTTAGGGGATGGGGATCCCCACTCTGTCATAAGTGTCCTATCTGAATGCAGATTAACTCTGAGGAGACAGTCTTGAGGGAACTCACTGGGTCTTGGGGATGGAAAGGAAGCCCACTGTAGCTTCTATATCTGGAGGGAGTTGGTCTAGCCTGGCAGGTGAGGTATGGTCTCTGACCCCCATGGCTGCTGTATGGGCAGGGCTGAGAGCCCCGTTCTTGAACCACCTGCTGAGCATGCTC